GGCAGAGCCAGAGTGCATGGAAGTAGTGGTCAGTTGTGTTAAGGTTACAGTGATACTTTGCTGCAGAGTCTAGTTGTTTATCCCCTTTTTCCTGCATGTATATGATGCACAAGTATGTGTGGCTGATGCATAACACACGTGCAGTAATGTAGAGCATGTGTATGTGCCTGTGCCTGTGTATTGATCAGTCCATGTTGGGCAACCAAGCATGGTTGGAGGCGAGGAAGGTCTGTTGTTGCTCGGTGGGGTGACATGAATCCAAACCAGCAGCTTTGCTTTCTGTCAAAACAAGGTGTGGGTGTTCTGTTTGCTGGTGGAAAATAATGTTGTGTGAATATATTAAGACATAAACTGTGAAATGGATCTTAAATAAAATATATTTCAAAGCATTCTGAGAACTAGCTTTGCCAGTGTTTAAAGCTAACTCTAATGAATATTTTTACATTTACAATGGATTGAATGACTATGTATGTGACAGGGGTGGCTCATAATTGCAAACACAGAGATTTATCACTCTGCAGTTCCCCGCAGCTATAAGAAGTGTAGCATCTTTCAGCCCTGCTTTTTGTTTTAAGGCCCACAACGTTACTGTTTTGGTTCTGTCTCACTACTTTCATCATTGTTGTTTTCAACCACAGCAGGCAGCTGTCTTCAGCAAAAAGCTTTAAAAAACCCACTATACGCTCCCTGCCCATCTTTAGACAACAGACGAAGTTAGCAAATACCTGGTGAACAATGTGAAGCATTTATCAGCTAAAGAGCCACATATTTCCCTCAGGAGTTAGTGGAGACCAAAGCAGCAAAAAGGAGAGTAAATATTGGACTTGCGTTTGTCAAGTGGACAGAAACATGACTCCAAATGAATGCTAATGTTGCTCTGTAAGCCATTGTTTTCTTAAATGTTCATAATATGGTGATAATATATCAACATTGTGTTTGCAGCCTGATGCACTGCCCCCAAGTACGTACTTAGTAGTAAGTAGAAATCTAATAAGCATGTTTAAATAGCTAAAACATGTATGTAGCAACAGCCAATAGGAGGCAGTCACCTGACCCGAGATAATCAAGTGCAACAAATAACAAGAGACATCAGAAATGTACGGTTCCTTTTCCTTTTTTTTTGCTTTATACTTTAGGAAATAAATATTCCTCTGACAAAACAAGCAATTTGAAGAAATTCCATGTGCAACTTGTAACCTGATTGGCCTTTTAACTATTTTCTGACATTTTAAAAATTAAATTATTGATTGATTAATCGAATAATCCTAATAATAGGCCATCAAGTCGAAAAGTAATCATTACTTGCAGGCGTCATCATAAGATATATGCAACAACACATCAATATATTTTGGTCTGAAACTAGAATGCAGGGAAACTCCACAACTCCACTGTAAAACTCTTCCTCTCGCTGTGTGGTCACAGGTCTCTGGACACACAGGCTGAATAAAACATGTTATTGACCCAACAGTCCAGTGATTGACTGCCAAATCACTTCCCTCTCCTTCCATTATGTAGCTCTATTTGGCCTGCCACTTTCAGGGGGCAAGAAATTAATCAGCCGAACTGGCGGACTCGTTCAGCTCAGCCTAATTACGGGAGGAGAGCTCAGAGTCACCCCAGAGTCACAACCTCTAACTTAAGGCGTACGGTTTAGTGTAAATGCTTTGTAATTCCCGCAGGTGCCTATTCTTACCAGGAAGTGTTACCTTTGAACAAATGAGTGCCTGACTTATTTCCTCTATTCTTCTTCCTTTATTCTTATGCATAGACCTAAGCCAATGTAAACGATCCATGGACGGGACTGCTATTCTATCTTTCTTGCCCCAGCTGGCCTTGACTGAGTCTATTTCCATTATCCCACCCATTGATTCGCTTCAGTGCCTTTCTCGTGGCTGTGCTGTTAATGTAATTGAATGGGGCATTTTTTTCACCCCTCCTCTGTCCCCTTGGCATGTGTACCCACACACGTATCCTCACACCCATTCTCTCTCAATCTTTCTGCCAGATGTTGCCAGGGCTATCGAGCTGTTGGAGAAGCTGCAGGAGTCGGGTGACGTCCCCGGTCACAAGCTCCAATCTCTGAAGAAGGTCCTTCAGAGTGAGTTCTGCACAGCCATCAGAGAGGTGAGTCACTGTCAAGGGAGGGAGCCGCTGCTCCGTGAGCACCAGCATGACTCATGTCTTTTCATTTCTTTTCCTCTGCAAGACTTTTTTGATGACCTTTCTCATGCTAGCACTCCCTGTTATGGGGTTTTTGCAGCGCTCTTCCAATCAATCATTGTGCTCGGTGCTGGGGTGTTTTTTCCTTGGAGTTGCTGTTGATGAAGTTGATGCTCTTTCACCTGTTCAGTCACGGTTGCTGTGTTGTCCATCTCAAGGCTGTAATACTTCTTCTGTTTATTCCGAAGAAACCAGAAAGGTACAGCGCATCACTTTATGTGAAAAAATGATATATCATACTAGCCAACAGCAGGTTACTGTCCTGTAAGTATAGCTTAGCTTGTACTTAGTATGGGAGTTACACTATAACTTATGATGTTTCAAGTTACTTATAATGAGATGTAACTCAAACTTTAATTTATACCTTCCAAGAGCCTTTCTTAACTCATTCTTTAATACCTTCTGTCATGTTGGAACAACTACAAAGATGGTTAAGACTAATGTTTCAAGAGCCTGAGGAAAATTAAATTGAACAAGTGAATTTGACCACGGGTCTTTCAGTGATGTCTGTGCTTATTCGCCACCAAACAACCAATATACACACTGTACAGATGTCAGCTTTTGACCAGCTAGATATCATTTCTGGTATTTCCCTCTAGCATCTCTCTTCTTTTTTCCTCCCATCTGTGTATGTTTGTAATATAAAGCTGATTCATAAAGTTCCAGGATAAGTGCAAATTTTTCACTCAAGCTGAAACATTTTCAACTCGTGTGGACATTTGCTTTAAGGCAAATTAGTTTTTTTGCGCCCATTCACATCTTTCCATTGACTTTGTATCTAATCATGCTGCATCTAAAATGTGAGTACACTTTCAGGACTAAATACCACTTTAGAGTCATACCATATTTTTAACTTCTACATTCTTTGAAAAGAGGAAACGTGATAAACTTTGGGAATTTTCTTTTACTACTTGTTAAATTGTAGACTACTGCAGAATCTTTCATGCCAAATTGGAAGTTTTTGAGACATTTTTGGTGATATTGGTATTATTTATGACCATATACAGTATACCATATTTACAGTATGATAGGGACAGCATCTGAAGAAACATCAATGTAGCAGCTGATATGCAAAAGTTAACATCATAAGCTAACACACATAGCATACTTTCTGTTAGATGTATTTAGTTGCACAGGATGAAAACTTTGGTCTCTGTGACTCTGTGGTTACGGTCAATTTAAGTTACAATATTTAGCTGTGCCGCAAATGAATGAAGTGGCAGCTTTAATCTTAGTGTTAACACAGTTACAAATTAGCATTTAATATTGCATCATTTTGCATTGACTTTACACCTAAGTTTGTGATTAGCTGGTGCAGCCGGCTGCTATTCCTGTGCTAAAAGCTATTAAAACCCTTACTGTTCCATGATTTGGATTTACTATAAGTGAAAGAAAACACTCCCTGATTGTGTTGCAGTATACAGTGGTGCCAAAATGTGCGACTGATGCTTTGAAACTCAATAAAGCAGGGCGTCGGGAGGAACTGTGGCTATAAAAAACAAATTCTAGTGAAAGTATTTTATTTCACTGCTGTGTTACATCAATCAAAATGACTGCAGCATAATGAAAATATCAGAGGTTATTATTATTGTAATATGCCCTTATTACTGAACGTAAAAACTCAGAGGCACAGTGAACTTTTGACTGCATTGAAAAATTCACACAAAGCTTTTAAATAATCACGGGCCGGAAAATATTATGAGCATTTCATAAACTTGAAGGCTTGATAAGCTCGTTACACTGAATTTTAATTAAGCAAATCACTGTTAGAAATGGGTTTTAATCACATTTCACACGGATGGAATAAAGTGTGAATCATAAACAGGAGTTCTTGTTTTTCTCCTCTTGTTAAATATGCTTCCATTCACACACACACAAACAGCCACCCACTGATCCATCATCTTAACACCATTCATCAGGAAGACGGTGTACAAAGCAAACAAGAGCATTCACTCTACATGACACCACTACACAGGCTGATAACCACAGACCGTTTATATTTAGTGTCCTGTCTGTTGTGATATACTGAAGCATCACCCAGTGACATGTATTTGTTAAGCAAACGGGGAGAAACAGATGCCACAATGGCCTCCGTGTTGCAAGTTAATTGTAAACAGAGTGAACATGTAAATCGTCCTGGAATGAAAGCAAACAATTAGCACACTTGATCAGTATGTTGGGAAGAGGCTGAACTTTTTTTTTTTCTAAGGGGGAATTGTGTTGTAAATTAAAGGGGCATTAAATACGATTTTACTGCTTCGGAGCACAAAACACCAATGATATATTTTGGAATATCGATCTGTATCAGCGTCTCAAGGATATCTGGTTTACCAAAATCACTTTCTAGTCCATAAAAGTTTCTATTACCTTCTCTTTGTAACTTAAATATTTATAGAGGGGTAAACAAAAAACCACAAAGGAGGATTTCAAATGTGACTTTGTTAGTTTTTCCTGAGCTTTTCCCTTTTTCAGGTAGCGTGATGTTACAGAAGCCAACAAGTAGAAATAGGCAGGAGCACTGGATTTGCAACACTTGACACCATAGGGTTCATGTTTTGTCAGGTTTAGGCAACTGAATCACTTACTGTATAGGTTATGTTTAGATAAAAATCATGGTTATGGTTAAAATTGAAAAGGTTAGGGCATTGTCGTGTTTTAAGCCAGCGTTGACCTTTTCAATATTTAACCAAGACCATAATTTTTCTCTAATCTTATCAAGGTGCTTTTTAGTTTTCTAAATACAACAATAAAAATGTTGTAGTATACCCATTTCATTGTTATTTGGGCTGCATTACATTTCCTACAAAATGCTCTTGCTGATGCAAATTAGTTTGTATGAACACACACATTTTTAGGAGATAACAGAGCTCCGAAGAGGCCAAATCTGATGGTGCATCATTTCCAAAAACTATTTAAGGAAGGTTTGGAAATTCATCACACAGACTGCATTACCAAAGAGGAATCGCAGCTAGAATTTGAAACTAAGGCGCTGACAGTCGTATACCTGATTTAATACCCTTTTGAAGGTTATGGTAATGTAGTTACTTTGAATGTTGATTTAGTCAAGCAGTGCTGGGACATTATCTACTCAAGTACAATTTAATGACAAAATCTTGTAAAACATACACACATATATAAATTACGTAATGTACTTTTTGTAGTCTTTTCAGCACATTTCTCAGTATAAGCTTTATTTAATAAATGTTGGAGTTCATAATTTTTTCAGCTAGTGTCTCGTTATAGTAATGAAATGTTTGCTAACACTGGCTATGACACCAGTTAGGAGAAATAGCTTCTGACAGAACATTACGCAAAAAAAAACCCTGACATCATACAAAGTGACAGAAATGAAAAAAGCACTACTCTTCTCCTTTCATCGGGTCCAGATCTGCTCTGGCCTGCTTGGGGAGGCCTGGCACATCCTGACACCAACTGCACGTCTGGCAACCGGCTGACTGAGCTCAGTGCCAGTCACTGGAGTGCAATGACAATGACTCTCAAAAAAACTCTCAAAAGGGCCTCAGCAGCGGCAGCAGATGCCCTTTGCCAAGACGCAAAGATGCAGACCACTTCACCCACAAAGAGCTGGCTAAACACAGTCACCAGGGAAACCATCAGAGATGCTCTGGGATTAGAGGGCTGCAGTGAGGCAGACTATGGTTTATTGTCGATTACAGGTTTGTGAGAGCCGATGATACAACAGCTTCTCTTCGTGGTGCTGAGCCAGCTGGAGGACAGGTTGTAAGTGCAGGCTATTGCATACTGTAGATTATTATTGTTATTATGCAGAGCATTAAAGGAGTTGTTGTTGTGGAATATCACAGTTCTCAACAGCTGTGCCCTCCGATGCACTGTTTGTATCGGAAACAATTAGAAGAGACAGGCTCAGAGTGGAAGGGAATCTCAGTGGCAAAGCAGCAGTTGGGCTGGATTTAATGGCCTGATATGTGAGTCTTATTTTTTGAATGTTTTTGTTTGTGAGTAAGCATTCACCACCACTGGGTTCACTTACCAGATGATCTGTTCTTCTCACACATTGCATCCTTCCATTTCAGGCACAAATACAAAATCACCCCATTAACTGCAATGTATACATAATTCTATACATATATATATACATTATACACTATTCTTAACATTACAGCCAGCCATTTGTCAAAATGGTTTGTATTTTTGCTTGTGTTTGCAGATTAAAGGAATCATATGTATTTACATGTGGTCATGTGAGCTTCAAATTGTGGGACTTGAGCATTTATTCTCCAACAGCACATTTTTTTAGTGCTGAAAAAACTGTCAAATCCACATGATTGTTTTTGCTACTTCAGTTTTTGCATATTATTTGTTTTTGTTTCTTTTCAAATTTAAAATAGCATCAATCATTGTGATGGAATTCTCTGAAAGCTGATTTTCATAATGTAATGAAACTACTATGAATCCAGTAGACAAAAGGAGAGGAAAAATGCATCCATCAATCCAATTTAGTACTATACTTTGTAGTAAATGAATAAAAACAGCAGAAATACTTGTATAGTTTTTTAATGGAAACAGTTTTCCTCCACTTTAAAGCCTTTTTCCACTCCTTGCTATGTAATCATATTCTAATTCATTTTGACTGCACTCACTTCTCTTTCCTGTATGTCATTCATCAGTGTTAACTGCTCTCAAGTTAAAGGAGCCGCAAAACACAGGTTAAACTATTCAAGTCCAACCCTCCTGTTGTTCATTTTAATCACACACACCACTGTGACATTTCATTATTACACATGACCTTTCTTTAAAGTCCAGGCCTTGTGTAATCTGTGATATGATTCCTTCCTCCACACACACACACACGATATAGCTCATTTCACAGTCCCGTGGGCCAACTCAAAGCCTGACAAGATGGACATACTAATCTTGTCTATAGAGTAAAAATACTGCTGTTAAGTCCACCACCAAACCTGATCCTGTACTCTACGTCAATAGAATTTACCAAACATGAATCAGCCTTGTTAAAGATGACAGACCGCCTGTCAATATGAAGAATGAACGGCAGGGGAAAACAGTCTGTTCAGCAGTGTTGGGCTAAATGACAAAGAGGGAGAGTTTGATGAGCTGGTTGTCTTTCCCAGCCACGTTCATCAATGACACGGGGGAGATGATCTCGGGTCTGCGCGTTAGTCTCACTGCATCAGCCTGAATAAGTTGTCAGGGGCAATCAGCCTTGCAAATGGGAAAGGAAGGACACAAGACGAAATGACTGGAAGAGCTAACCAGCTGGAAATGATGGAAAGTGGGAATTTGCAGTATATTGGGTTAGAGAGTCCCACTTGACTAACACAGGAAGTGCAAAAAGCAGGCCAGAGCGATCGCGTATTTTATCAGCTTTAATATTGCAATTGATTTTCCACTTCAGCAGAGATTTTCAATTAACGTAATTGACTGTGTTTTTTTATAAAGGCAAAAGCAAGCGAGGGCGGCAGATTTGTGTTGATTCCATCACAATGCCCCCACATGTTAAGTTAAAGGATGAAAAGTACATTAAGTCAGTCCGTGCAAGTTCAGTATTTTCCCTCTGTGTCATGGTTAGTACCGCCGAAAGGGAAAGTGTATTGTTAAGTCCTGTGCTGGTTTTTTATCCCTTCCCAACAACATCAACCCATTCAACCATCCCCCTCCATCCTCTCCATCTCTCTGACTCAGTAGAGGAAGCAGGAAGCCATGGTTACAAGCAGCGTCGTCACGTCAGTTTGCCCCTCAGGCATCTCTTTCAATTCTCTCGCTTTGTTGGCGTCCTCCTTCTAGGCGCCAGTGTCGGTATCCTATCATGAATGGTGCGTGTTTGTGTATGTGTTTCATCATGAACCACTGTGATGAACCAGGCAAGAAGAAAACATGTAGGAAAGGGTGGACTGAAGGTTTCATTGTTTTAGGGACGGACAGTGAAGACATCTGGCAAAAGAAAAGGCAGAAGGAGAATTGAAATGATGCCTGCGGGACAGCTGGCCTTTTTAGAGCAAAGTGCAGCCACAACAAGAGCAGACTGACATTCAAAAGAACACAGCTATTTGTTCCATGTCGTGGCTCTGTTATTCAGGGCACTGCATTCAGGTAGAGAGATATTAAATGGGCATCTTGTTTGCCTCCTTTAGGGCACAGTATTCTCAGTTAGCCTAGTTATCGTTTCTTATGTTGTTACACTAATGTACCTAAAAAAAAAACAGAAAAACCACAGGACTTAAAGGTGAGGTATGCATTTCTGGAGTAATCAAAATACCAAACAATGACACAGCAAGTAATCTGTAAACTGTAATGTAAGCAAGGTTTTGAGTTTGCAAACTGTCAAAAATTTGATTCTGCAAAGCTAACATGCAAAGAGCACAAGACAGTTTCCTACAGCCAGAACACAAGCTCCAGACAGCTATGCTCACAACTCTCCTGCTATAGCTTACATCACAACAACAGCATATCTTGGCCAACTAGAAAGTAAGCTGCATGTCTGTGGGCAAGCTATTAATGTTACCTGACACACAAATCATGTCTGGAATATTGTTGCGGTGCTCGGTCTGAACCACTTGTTTGTTTCCCACTTACAGAGCCAGGGTTGTCTACAACATCCAGGTTTTTTCAGCAGAACGCACTGCTAGTGGACTGTGAGGAGATATTCGCTGAATTTGACCCAAAAAAAAAAAATGTATTGATTTAGAATATATATATCTCACCTCTAGAGGAGACTCACAACCTAATTGTCTTGTTATTTTTTAACTGTGCACTGTCAGATTGCATAAAATAGGGAGCAGAATAATAGATATTTTATAATAAATGAGAAAAGAATGCAGCAATTTATTATGGTATTTGCCAGTGAGAAGACAGCTTCCCCTGAGCTCACGATGGTTATTAATTAAGCCTTCAACTGCAAAATAAGTAAGTATAAAATCCATCACTGATGCACCCTGTGAGAGAACAGAGAACTCTCATATTTTACTCACTGCTGTGCCACTGCTCCCTCTCACATATTAGATGCCAAATATCGTATGAGCATCGCAGAGCTATCTGTAACACTCCCGTTGTGTTTGAAAAGAGCCATTACTGAACATTTACGTAAAACAGAGACCAATGTTTGAAGGCCCAAAAGCCATCACTTTAACAGATAGATAAAGCCAGCAATGTTACAGTTTCCATGTCTGAATGAATAAGAATAAGAGACAGCTGCAGGTAGAATAAATATGGGTAATTAGCTGTTGCAGTAGTGTTTAGAATGAGGATAACAGAGGGAGAAAAGAAGCCCCTCTGCAGGCAGACACAGGCGAGGAAAACCTTTCATGGCATTTATAAAGCTGTGCTCAGCCTCAAAAAGTCCAAAGGTGTAAGAAGGCCTTAGAAGAAGGTGTCATTTGGGATTTGAGTGTCTGTGTGGACTGCAGTCTCCATTTCTCCAAATGCATCAGTGCTATGAACCTAAAAAAAAAACGTGTTGCAGTCTGAAATGTAGAGCTGCACTCTCAAAAGCCGCTCATTCGGTCTTTGAGATTCATGAGCAAACAAGACAACAGAAGCTCAGGGATATTTTCCCCCCTCCCTGAGATCTTTACATGCAAATATCTCAGGGTTTGTACCCTATAAGTATACATGCTTTTGATGATTCAGAGAAGCAAGCCCTTTGTAACGTTGTACTGTGGTACGTCAAAGCTACCCGGCGTGTTCGCTTCCAGGCAAGCTGCCATGCTTTGATGAGAGACATCATCTAGTGAGTGGAAACAGATGATTAAAATTCATTTCTGAGCCACAACATATATATATGTCATAGGCAAGTTTTTAGTGAGAAATGTGCAGTGTCATTACTCTGATTAAAATTTGATCGCTTATTTGCTCAATTAACTGCAACTTCCATAAATGTAGCATTAAAACAAATAGATGTGTTTGGGCTTGGTAATTTATGTGATTTATTGAGTGAGTTGCACCAACTCAGCAAAAACATTTCCTCTGAGACTTTTTGTAATCAGCCCATACATCTCAATCATTTTAAACTTTCATTTTCATCCTCCTGTCTTGTTCATTATTTAGTTTCAGCATTACAGGGAAAAGGCACATCTGACTCAAAAATGTACAAAGATTATCAACAGAATGTGAAGACAGTTTTGACTTTGCATCGCCAAGATGACTGACTGCATGACGCCTCTCCTGTCCCCGCCTGAACCCGCCGTGTCTTACTGTACTACTTACTGTGTTACCTCTTGTCAAACTGGCCTTTGTCTCGGAGGCTGTGTTTGGTCCCAGTGGGGCTGTGTTGACTGGGTTGCTGAGCCAGGTTCCATTGTCCGCTCGCCCCGCTCCAGTTCTGGTGCTCATTTCGGCACCAGCATTTTCCGCTGGGCCTTAAAAACGCTTCTTCCTGGCAGTCCAAAGCTCCTGTACATATATGTTATGCTAATGATATGCTAATGGCAGCTACAGTTAGTAGGAGTTATCTGTAATTTGGCATGTCGCCAATTCTTACATATTGCACCTTTAAAATCTGAAAGCTGCAGTACAGACTGGTTAGATATATATTTGAAACTCTTGCATATTGGAGTACTTTTGTGCTACAGTATATTAACCGCACATCACACACCACTGTCTTCTCTCTTTTACTCTTTAAACAAGTTCAGTTGTAAAGTGTCTTTAAAGACACGTCTTAACTGTAAAGGTCAGCTGTCTGCATCTATTCTGTCTGCCTCAGCAAATAGGTAGAACCTTGTTTTTCACCCAACTGGACATACAGTACAGCAACCCATAACTTGGAACCAATTCAGGCCCAGCAGTGATGTATTATTGCCTGTTCTGGAGTCTTTTTGTGCTGTTTATGAAGTCGAGGGCAGATTGTGCCTCCATACCCTGAGCTATGAGTTAAAATTATTTTCTCATGTGCTAAGAAATGTATGCATAAGGTGCTGCAAAAATAAAGAGCTCAATACAGCTGAATTATGAGACTCAAGTTATATAATCTTCAAGACTGGTACCCTTGCACCCTAAAACATCCTTAATACGGTAATTGAAAAATTCACTTATCTTCTCTGAGAGAGACAAAATTCTTTTCCTCACTTACCAGATTTGCTGCTGTCTTCACATTTCAAAGGGATTTAGTGTTACAAGGTCTTCACCTACAAATACATTTGCGGGCAAAATAATGAGATTTACATATTATTTGCATGTCTAAGATAAATGTAAGCTGATTTTTTTTTTTATTAGTTCCTCTGGGGTAGTATAATTTGTACAAGCATACAATAACTCTGTGCTTGAGTGCCGGATGTTTTCCATCAGTCAGCATGTTAATGCAGTACGTGTCCATACAGCCAGCTGTGAGCGGACACCATTATTTGACTATGGAAATTAACTGTTTGAGCTCAGACGCAGGGTGCTGATTTCAGTTTTCTACCGTCTGAAACGTAATTATAACACCTGTCTCTCTTCATTTCTTTCAGGTGTACCAGTACATGCATGAAACAATTACAGTGAATGGCTGTCCGGAGTACCAGGCGAGGGCCACGGCTAAGGTAAGAACTGCTTTGGAGGTCTGGATCTGATCTCTACATCAGTTATTATTTGCAGTAAAAAAAAAAAAACATTAAATATGACTGTAGCTAATGAGTGGATAACTTTCTGTTAGTCACATTACTCAGTGGTATCTTTCAAATCTTTTCTTCTGGCCAAAGCAGAACAAAATTAGTATGTTCTATTTTGCTAATGGCCCTCATTAAGAGTGTGTGTGTAATTAAGCAATAACACATCAGAGTGCCAGGTTTGTAGGAATAAGGCGCATGGCTGAATGCCAATAACACATGCTAAAGCACTATCTTAAGAGTGTTTTTGCAGCTATACCACAGTTTCATTATTGATCTTTATGATTAGCTGTTGAGACGGCAATGACACAAATAACTACAATTACTTCAGTCCCTTCAATCCCAACTTCAATTCTACAAACACTTGTCTCTAAGTCTGCCTGAAACATAAAGATTAGATCTCTGAATTAGCTATAGTACAGTAATTTTACAGACTATACAGCCCCTGGAAGCAAACTTGTGATTTGTGATATTGGCTTATAAATTAGACTCAACTAACTGCAAAGAGAAATGGAAGTCCACTGGATAAGAAGCCATTGCACTTGATTTCCTTGAATGTTTTCTCCTAATACTTCTCACAGCAACCCACAGCCCCACTCATGTAAACAAACCGGCATGTGCAGATGAAAAGATAGCTGCTTTGGTTGGCTGACAAGATGCCCCGCAAGTACTGTATATAATGGGGGCTAACATTTTTGTTTACTTTTGGTTGGACTCTCAGACAAACGTTAGGAATGATTTATGTGAAACTGAAATTTATTTGGAAAGGTCTGCAGTGCGCATTTCAACACAGCAACACAGCAACACCCAAGTTGAATAATAGAATGTCTCTTTAGGACTTTCGGTTATCCAAAACCAGTAGATTTACCAGAATAAATATGTTTAATGTGGTCTGAGCCTTGTTCAGCAGATCTTGCTTCAATGTTTGGATTAACCCTGCTACCTACGTGCCTTTCTTAGAGGGTTAAAGCTGGGGCAGGTCATGCATTTCAGAAGCATTTTATGTTATATTTGTATAATGTTCTCTTTAAACCTCAACGGCAATCAATAAATGAAATGCTCTGAAAAGAAAAAGCGTGCTCGGGGAAAACAAGGTCAAACAAACGTGTAATCAATACTGGCATCAAAAGCAGACTTATAAGTTTTTCCCACAAGGAAGACAAAATTTTAAATATTCAGATTTCTTAAAGGCACTGTTTGCTTCAATATGCACCCACTACAATTTCCAGCTCTTCATCCTTGTTTCAACACTCTTCAGTTACTAAATGCTTTTGATTTTAGCTGTAAATATCTCATCAATTCCAATTCAATTCAATTCTATCTGTATACATTTTCAATTTTATCTGTATAGCGCCAATTCATAACAGAAGTTATCTCAGGACACTTTTCAAATAG